AACGACAGGTGAAAGGAATGACTAATTGAGGGAGAGCAAACAGTCCAGATCATGACAAGCAGGATGTATTTGAGCATCTCAATCTCAATGTATCTTAAAAAAATATAACGTTTCTTTGATTGCCACAGGCAATCTGAAATTTAAATTTGGAACAGTGGTTCTTTTTTTGTACTATGTGTTTTTTGGCATGTTTCGCACTCCACCATCTAACCTACTCCTTGCCTGGCATTTTGCAGTTTACTTGATGATTATGTGTGTGCTGTGGAATTTCTGCTCTTAGCAGTAATAGATTGACAAGTCTTCCTTTTTTTCATGAAGGGAAATTCAGATCTGTCTGACCACAAAGAATAATTTTTAAGGTCAAGCTGACTTTTCTGTGGCCAACCAAAGCTCTTCCCAATGCTAGTTAGTTTTCCTAAAATGTGTGTGACTTGTTGCCATGAGTCATCTGCCTATTTTTCTCTAAGGGCAGCCCTGATACCATTTGGCATTAGTTCAACAGCCAGTGAGTACTCTCCAGTGCTGGGCGCTCAGTTACCAGTCCCTGCCTATCATTAATCAGATCAGTAGCTGGCTTTGGAATGGATATAGCCTCCCTCGCCAAGGAAGTAGCTCACTGTTAGGTGCACAATAGTCTTAATTTGAGCATTCATAATTGGCTATGGCCATAGAGAGTATCACATTATCTGCAGAGGTAGGTTGTGGCAGTTTTTAGATTGACCTAACTAATTTGGGTTGAGCTCTTATACGTTTCTTGCAAACCTTTGCCATAAACCTGACTTTCTTTTCAAATTCACATTTTTCACTTGGAACAAGGGTCTCCTGTAAAACCCTCTTCAACATATGGTGCAGTCTTAGGGCTTGCTCCTGTTTGTTTCTGTTATATACTAGAATATCATCTGCATGACAGATCATTCCTTCAAAGTCCTCCAGCATGTGAGACATCCTCCTCTGAAAATGTTCCAATGCTGATGTTTTGCCAAAAGGGAGTCAGTTGAATTGATATCTCCCAAAGGAGGTAATGAAGGTGGCTTTTTCAGGTTTTGAGAAGACAGCTATTCCTGAACACCATGCTGTTGACTGTGTTACTTTTAAAATGATGCCAATCTCTTCTCACAGGCAGAGAGATCCATCAATAGACAGAGAGGGCAACCGGTATTGCTCTCTATC